TGGCAGCGGGTCCCATGCTCATCCCTCGCCCCCACCCAAAAGGTTTGCAAATTTGACGAAGCCAGAACAATAGTTTCTCCTACCAGTCCCTCTGTTTACTCGTTTAGAAATCCCAGAGGCGTTTCGAGGTAAAAAGGTCAGAGCTGTACCCGGGCTCGCTGCCTCCTCCCTCCCTGCCCGACCCGGGGCGGCTCCATCCCCCCGCGGGTTCCGTCCGCCCGAGAACCGGGCTCGAGTGTTAATTATACTCTGGAAAACACATTTTCAGGGGTTGCTTTGAGAAGCTTGGAGGAGAAAACCAAACCGATGCTTAGTTTTGGTTTTGAGTCAGATCAGCTTCACAGAACTGTTCCGTGTAAATGCGAAACTCCCTTTGCCCCTGCCCCGCAACCCAAGACCAATCCAGTTAATTTTGCAGCCCCAGTAATGCAGATCCACTTCCATGCTGGGATGCTCACACCGAAGAGGATAATGATGATTTTCTGTTCTCATCGTGCCTGGTTGCGCTCTGAAATAACCCCCCATGGGCAGCGCTGCCCTTCTGCCCGATCCCGACTGGGCGAGCGGCTTTGAACGCTCTCGAAGCAGGGGTGAGTGCCAGGCCCGAACCTGCCGATGCCAAGTTGGGGGGCGTGGGGTAACCGCAGGACGCAGGATCGGGCGTTTTTGTTTGGGAGCTTTGGCAGCAGTCGCAGACCTTTTCCTTCCTCCTCCTCCCTCTGAGCCCCGGCTCTCCCCGCCCCGGCTCGGGCATTTCCCTGGACGGGAGAGATTTCCATGTCGCTTAAAGTCGAGAAGACTTGCATGTGGAAAAAGTAAACTTTATTAGACTGAGGTAGTTTCATTTCGAGATACAGAGAACGGGGAAGGGAGTGGAGGGGAAATGGGAGATTCCGATTAAGAAACCGCTGTTCTTTCTCGATGACGTTTTTCCCTTTAAGACAATCTGTAACGAAAGCTGCCGTGGTTTTCAGTTCGTCCTACCTAAAGTTTCTCGTGGGGAAAGAAAATTATTTACTCATGGTTAAATAACGTTTTTATCGGAGTCTGATAAAGCCAAAGAGGGTGGAGGTACAAGGAACCGAACTACTCCGCTCCAAGACTTCAGGCGATCGAGGCGTACAATAAATAGCAGCCAGTGCATCAGTGCCTGGGGGAGGACAAGCCCCGCGGCCCCCCCCCCAGCTTTGTTCCTGTCCACCTTCACGCCTCCTACGACAGTGACTGTTGCCCAAAGTACCCCGAGGTTCGCCTCATCTCGTTGTCTCGGGTAGCCCAGCCCTCCCTCCCCAGGCTCAGCAGCAGCCAGAGTCACAGAGCGTGTAAAAAACCCTGTAAAAAGCAGGAATAGTGCAAAACGGTAGCAGAGGAATTGCAATTTTGCTTGGTGTTTGGGTCTTTGCAGAGGCCTCTAGCATCTTGGGAGCCTCAGATCTCATTCCAAGATATACATACAGTAAATAAAAGGGAGGGGAAAAAAACCCAAAACAAAACTTTTGTTTTACAATCTCACGGGGAGGAAAAAAATACATCAGACGTAGGATTCTTGCAGGCAAAAGTCGTTGTGCACATTTTTAAAACGGGAGGAAACTAAATTCGTTTTCAAGTTTTTGTAGTTGAAAGTGCAGCTCCTATAGGGGAGGGAGAAGGGAGGGGTAGAAACGTCCCTGAGCCAAACGCCTATTGCTAGGGATGCAGGAGGGCACGGCTGCTCCTTCGGAGTCCAGCGTTTTACAGAGGGGCTATAAATTAAGAGCGAGAACTGCAAGCGGGGGAATCGGTATCACGGGTATGGAGAAGACGGGAGCCGAAGGGACGGCTGGGAGGGAAGCGTGGCCTTGCTGCCATGCGTGTGTGCGGCGGGGCTGTGCGTGGGAGGTGCGTGTGTGTCCGGGGGTGCTACAAGGAGCGGCTTGGCCTATCCCTGTCGCGTCTCAGGAGGACACGGAGCCGGGGGAGGCCTCAGGTGAGGTGCAGTTGGACTGATCCGAAGCTTCACTCGCCTCCTTCGCGGACCTGGAGGCAGCAGCCGGGGCGAGACCTTCCTTCTCCCTCTTCTTCTGCTTCATCCGCCTGTTTTGGAACCAGATCTTGACCTGGGTCTCGTTGAGTTCCTGATCTCCACTCTCCGAGCCCGGGTGAGGTACTTATTGAAGTGAAACTCCTTCTCCAGCTCCGTCAGCTGCTTGGTGGTGAAGTTGGTGCGGATGGTGTTGGGCTGGCCCAGTCCGTACTCCGACACTTTGGCTGTGAAGGAGCAAACACCGACAGGGCAGGAGCAGCCAAAGCAATGCTCTCCCTGGGCCGGGGTGGGGGCTGTGGGTGCGGGGTCTCCCCGTTTCCCTCCTCTCCACCGCCCAGAGCTTCGTGCTCCCCTCCCGGCTCCTCAGCTGGGTTCCCAGCCCAGAGATACAACCTGGAGGGACAGAGCCCACCGGGCTTTCTAGAGATGTGTGTCCCCCCTTTCTTTTGTATTTGTCTCTCCCCAGTTCCCTACAAACTGCCATGAAACTTCAACGTGCGTGGGAAGGAGTGGAAGGGGAGGGCGAGGGTGATGCTGGGGGGAGGAGGAGGGAAGGTTGTGATTTAAGGATGATCGTGGAGAAGGAAGTTGAACAATAGAGGAGATGGAAGAGACAGGAAACCCGGAGCGTTTCCGATCTTGAGTTGGGCTTAAATCGCATTGGGCCTGCGGGAAACTGAACTCAGAGACCCTCCATGAGAAGTGTCTGGAAAATCTCTAGCTGACTTTTCCTCAGCCCTGAGCTGGTGTTTAAAAACAAAACAAAACGAAACAAAACAAACCCAAACCCCAAAGCAAACCAAATCTGTGCACCCCTGGAAGATGAGCCCAGTTACCCTGAATGCAAACGCCGGGGAGGGAAACCTTCCCTTGCAGGGCTGGGGAGCTGCCCCTCGCCGCCCTCGTGCCCCGATGGGGACCATCCTCACCCAGCCCTGCGCTTTCCAAACTCACCTGTTTTGGGCGGATTCCTCTTCACTTTCATCCAGTCGAAAGTCTGCGTGACGCTGGCGTTGGGACACGGCTCGGAGGGGCACGCAGGGTCTTTATCCTCGTTTAAAGACGACGAGAGATTGTTGTAAACGCCGGGCAAGTAACCGGGCTGCTCCTGCCCGTAAAGGTGTTGTTGCTGGTACTGCCCGGAGGCCGCCACCGCCCCGCAGTAGCTCTCCGCTAAGGAGTTGAGGTTGGATCCCGCGTTGGCCGAGTACCCGGCCGCTTGGAAGTACAGCCCGTCCGTGTCCGGCTGGCCGAGGTAGAGCTGGTGGTGCCCGTAGCCGGGGCTGCAGGTCGGGGTCGGGTACCCGGCGGCCGGGGCCGG